TCAAATATTAATATTTAACTTTACAAATGCCTCCAACTTGTTCACTAAAAACTGAGCTGAAAAAAAAGTAAAATAAATATTTTGCTTCTAGAAAATTTTTCAGACAGATATTTAACTAGTAAAAACATTATATAATGTGCTTTATTATAGTTGACAGAGTTGCTTCTGGTTGACAGATGCCATCTGACAGGACAAATACTTGGCACAGAAATTACTAGCACATTCAGAAACTAATCTTTCCTGAATCCAGCTGCAATTCTCAAAAGCTGGCTTGAAACACACTGTCCTTTGTAACAGAAAATTCAGATTAAAAAAAAAAATGGACCGAGTAGTTATCTCAGGTCCATTGTTCATGACTGTGCCGCACATTTCTCTCAATAGTTAAAATAACATTTAAATGGGAAGTAACTAACTTTAAATACAAAATGATTTTTAAATATCCTTGTCTCATCTGAATGGGCGTCGCATTTTTGTAAACTTAGTTTTCCTTTACATTCCTGTCTTCGTCAGGAGAGGTGATGTGGTTATCTGATCCTGCTGCCAGGGTTTAGCTTTACCACTGGGTTTCACACTCTGGGCCCCATGCTCTATTTCACTCTGACTTTTTTTAATGTATATCTTTTATTTAATTAAAATCAGTCAACGGTCTGATAGTTAAAGTGCTGCCGATGGAAACTGTTGTGAAACTTACATCACATTGCTTGTTAAAGTTGAAAAAGGTTAATAAAACATAGGTTGCTTTTGGATGTGATAAGAGCTGCTTCAAAGGATTATTTTAAATACATACGGAGTGTTACAAGGAACACAGAAGCCTTCAGTGTGCAGTCGCACTTGGCATTCAGTGGTTCTAAATAAGGTTTTAGAGAAGGCAGCACTCGGCCAGAAGGTTAAGCCAGAAAATTTCTGCATCTGCTGGACACAGCTAGCTCTTTCTTCGCCCCTGGTGAGGAATGTGAAATGCAACAACACCAAAGCAAGTCTGCACCAAAGTTCAAAGTTAAGTTTTATTTCTTATCTTAACTCCAATACCGCTGCTTAAACGACCCCCTTTTCGTGGCATAATACACAGCCGTTTTATTTGCTCACAGGTATGTGGCCCAGAAATCTGGTCTGTGTTCGGCTGGGTGGCTCTCTTCTGATCTTGCCTGGGCTCACTCAGACGACTGCGGTTGTCCGGCCTCCGGGCTGGAGCTGGATGGTCTGGGATGGCCTGGCTGGAGGTGGGGCCTCTCTCTCCAGACGGTCTCTCCTTCTCGTGGAGGCTAATGCAGGCTTCTTCACATGGTGGTCCCAGGGGCCCAAGAGTATGAGAACTCTCACCAAGTCATTTTCACAGGAGTCTATCAAAACAAGGCAAGCCCTGACTGGTGTGGTTCAACTGGTTGGGCATCGTCCCGCAAAGCGAAAAGTCGCCAGTTGGATTCCCAGTCAGTGCACTTGTCTGGGTTGTAGGTTTGGTGTCCCCGGTTAGGGCACGTATGGGAGGCAACCGACTGATGTTTCTCTCTCACTTCAATGTTTCTCTCCTTCTTTTCCCCCCATTCCTTCCCCCGGCTCCAAATAAATAAAATAAATCTTAAAGAAATACAAGGCAAGCCTGAATTCTAGGGGATGGAATAATAGTCCCCATCTTTTGATAGGAAGATGCAGAAAGTCACACTTCACAAGACTGTGCACACGGGGGAAGCATTCGTGGCTATTTTCCCCCATCCCGCTACACTAACAATGGCTCAAAATTCAGAAAAAACCAGAAACTTGATTACCTAAAAATTAAAAATCTCTTGCACTACAAAAAATACCATAAGATGAATGACAAATTAGAAAAAATATTCATAATTTATATTAAAAACAAAAGTTTACCATCTCTAGTACATAAAGAGCTTCTAAAAAATAGAATAGGAAAGTGCTAACACTAAAAAATTCACTAGGCCCTGGCTGGTGTGGCTCAGTGGACTGAGTGCCAGCCTGTGAACCAAAGGGTCTCTGGTTCCCATCCCAGTCAGGACACATGCCTGGGTTGTGGGCCAGGTCCCCAGAAGGGGGCACTCAAGAGGCGACCACTCATTGATGTTTCTCTCCTTCCTCTCCCTCTCTCTAAAAATAAAGAAATAAATATTTAAAAAATTTTATTAGAGATATGAACAGATAGTTTTCAGGAAAAGAAATGTACATGGACTTAAACCAAATTGAAAAAAGTTCAACCTCACTCTTAATAAAAGAAATGCAAATTAAAGTGACAGTGAGATTTTTTCATCTATCACATGATCAAAACTCCAATGCTTGACAATACACTCCGACAGGAAACAGGCACTCAGTACACGGCTATTTTGGGAGTGCAAAATGGTATGGCTCCAACGGAAGGACTGTTTCAACAGCTAGCAAAGTTACATCTGTATTTGACCTAGCAATCCCCCTTTCAGAAATCTATCCCAAAGATACACTGGCAAAAATGCAAAAAAAAATGTGCAAGAAGCTATTCACTGAAGCAATATTTGTGATAGTAAATATTAGAAGCAACGGAAATGTCCATCGGTAGGAGACTGATTGACATAACCATGGGACCCACCCAGGGAGTTCTATGCCACCGTGAAAAGTAATGAGGACTACCTCTGTGTACTGCCATAGAGCCATCTCCAGGTGCACAGTTAAATGAAAAAAGCAAGGTGGGGACCTGTGCATATAGAACACTGCAGTTTATCTAGTAAGTAAGGGTAACAAATGTATGCACACGTATAGCTTATACCAAAATATGGAAGAAAAAAAAACCCCGCAAAGTGGAAGGAACCAGATGAAAGGAAGGAAGGGAAAAGATAGACTTCTCTGCATATATCTTCTTTCATAGATTTCACTTTAGAGCCAGGTAAGGGGTTTACATCATTATTAAGAAGTTTATAATGGTCTTACAAGGCAATCCTTCAAAAGCAATCTGAAAATGATTTGAGTATGCAAAGCTACACAGGGAGGAGCTGCTGCATGTGACTTTAATCTCAGTAGATCACTGTGTATACAGTAAGGGTAAAAAGTACTCCAAAATAAATTCTGAAGTGTTTTCAGTAATTTTATTATTAATGAAAAACAGTTTTGGTTTTGAGATGGCAGTGTGTGTGTGTTACGGGATAATTCACTTGAGTAATTATGTTGGTGTCTTTGAGATGCAAATTTTTGGAGTAGAATAGAAGATTGGTCAGGTTAAATAAAAACCCTGTGGTCCTAATTTGAATCAGAGGTATCAGTATGAATTCATGATGTTATTTTATCTTTAAAAAAGCAAACTCTTTAGTTCTGTCTCCTTAAAGGCCTCGATATGATGGCCAGCCCAGCGACAGCAATGGGCACCCCCTAACCACCCAGGTTGTCGTTTAAATACTTAAGCCCTTAAGTATTACAACCACATGAAAAAGAAGCAGAGCTCCTGCTGATTTCAGGTCTGGGGCAGGATATTGACATCTTATACCAGAAAGCAAGGATGGTATCCAAGACTATTAGCATTAAGCCAAAAGGATTCAAAAAATAAATTAAAAATTAATTTAAAAGAGGAATGGATTCAGAAGACCTCTTGAAGAATCTCCCATTTGTCATTGATGGAAAATTTGAGTATTGATAAGGGTAATAACGGCAATCGATTGAAGTGCGTAAATTATGTTTAAATTGCTGAGTTTATAATCATGCTAAAAATAACTTATCGGTCACTTATGGAGAATGCCATCTTACTGTCTTGAAAACTGGAAATGAAAATAAAGACCCAAGTATTTATTCTATCCTTCCTGTATGGACTGTATTTCAGCGTAACCAAACAGTTGGTGAAAGAAGTTTCTCTTTAAAGTAGTGATCCCGCTAATACATAATGATATAATGACAATATCACCATTTTACAACTCCTAATGAAAAAGTGGATAAATAACATCTGACATCACAAAGAGAGAAAAACAGACATATGTATCTCCTGATGGAAGTAAAAACACCACCCATGAAGTATTCCTGCCAAAACAATACGTCTAACTGATAAAACTTCTAGATCTAAAGACTATATCAATGGACCCTGGCTGGTGTAGCTCAGTGGATTGAGTGCTGGCTTGCAAACCAAAGGGCTGATGGTTCGATTCCCAGTCAGGGCACATGCCTGGGTTGTGGGCCAGGTCCGAAGGTGGGGGTGTGTGAGAAGCAACCACACATTGACGTTTCTCTCCTTCTCTTTCTCCCTCCCTTCCCCTCTCTCTAAAAATAAATAAAATCTTTAAGAAAAAGAGAGGGAGGAACATGTTGAAACAAAACAAAAAACATATGTTGCAATAACCAAAACCCAGACTGTGAAAAATTCTACAGGTCAAATGACCCAGTTTTAAAAAAAAAATAAGTTGCAAAAGGGAGATGGAGGGGGAACCTATAGAAAAAGGGACTTAAGAATATGTTGACCAACTGCAATTTGAAGACTTTACTTGGATTCTGACTCAAAAACAAACTGAAGTGGGGGGAACGTTTAGGAGGCAGTGGAGGAAATTTGATCACGACTAGATACATAGTAACACTAGAAAATCGTTGTCACTGTTGTTACTCCCTATCCGGGGTGGCTGTGGCAGGAGATAGGGGGTGGGGCGGCGAACACCAGGGCTGCCAGGCCTTGAGATCCTGAGTGAATCTGCACGTGGAACTCACGAAGATGCCTTACGCTGTTCTCTACACTTCTGTTTGGAATGTTCCATGATACAATGTAAAAAAAAAAAAAAGGAAGGTTTTTAAATGAGGAAATTCTTCTGTTTGAAAGGCTTCTAGTGGACATTATCGTGGCTCAGTAGAATTCCTAGAACTGTGTCCGCTCCTCCTGCGATTAGGAGGGGAGTCTGCCACGGATAAAGACCACGTGTTGCTGGATGCAGAGTCTTCCTTAGATTACGTGACTTCTTGGATGGTACTGAGAAGTTCATGTGATGTGATGCATGTGTGTGTTCATATACACTGTATTATTTAAACATATAAATACTAGTGAATGAAAACAGAAGCACTAAAGATATTCCAGCTTTATTCAAGCGAGTTCACATCCAAACTCAAGAATCCAGATGTGCATACATTGCGGTGAGGTGAAGGCAGAGAGAAGTTAAAGTGAAAGCAGGTTGTACAGATAGCTCAGTTCCTATGACACAAAACTTAAACCCCAAGGCGAGAGTCTCTGAAGCTCTTCACTGCAATGTCATATTTTGACCTCAGACACGTAAGATCTCCAATTCTTTAGTCCTGAAACCTATCAAGTAGATACCAAAAATCTTCAAAGCACATTAAAGTATTCTAGAAAAGACGCCTTAAAAAAAACCCCAAAACTAAGATGACTAAAACTACAAAAGCACCTGTCAGTCTCTATGGCACTTTGTGCTGAAGTGTCAATCTGCATGCGATTCCTCTTGAGCCTCGGCGGTCTCGGCGGCCTCAGCACCAGCACTGGCTTCTCCCTTTAAGGCATCCCCAGCAGAGTATTCTGACTCAGCTGGAGAATTCGCTTCTTCTAGCTCAGCACATTCATCAGAGCTTTCGTTCTCTGTTGTACCTTTATCATCATCGATGGCAAAGGCTTCATCCGGAGCTGCACCGGTAACCTCCGAGGTTGTTTCAGTGCTGACTTCGGCGCTGACTTCGGCGGTTTCGCCCGTGGCCACATTTGGAACCTCTGGCCCAGGTTCGGCCCCAACCGCGGGGGTCTCCACCTGAGTAGGCTGCGCAGTGTCGGGACAGGCTGCAGCCTCTGCTACGGGGGCAACTGTAGCATCTGAGCTTTCTTCAGCATCCACCACCTGAGCTTCCACTGAACATACTTCAGGGACTTCAGAACTTGCTTGCTCTGCTTCCACAGGGTTCTCTTTTTCGCCTGTAAGATTTAGTCCATTAAGCAAAGTATAATATTAATTGAAAGAGCATGGGAAGACAGTGGAACACTGTGCTCTTAAAAAAATGAGACAGATCTACATGCACTGGTGTAATGTCCTTCAAGGCAGACTGTTAGATGAAAAAAGAGCAATGTACACAGCTTAGTACTGTGTGTGTTAGGACAGAAGCAGGGTAACTTACATGCCTAGCTAGTTATACTTGCATAGATTCTCTCCAGGAGCATTCAGAGACTCTGGTATTATTGGTTGCCTCTGGGGAGGGAACATGGGGGAATGGACTTTTCTGCAAACCCTTTGAACATGTTGAACTTTCAAAAAGAATTTACATGTATTATTTATTCAAATACAAAGGACAGGAGCATTAAGAGCCAACCCATCGTGAGATAGCATGGAGAAGTAGCCAACTTACTAGCCAATGACCCTGAGGAATCACTCCTTTATTCTCAACCTCAGTTGTGTCATCAGCAAAGTGGGGGATATTAATAATACCTATCTCACAAATCTGTTGTGAGGGTTGAATACAATACTGTACACCAAAGGGGGGTTAAAACCACTAAACTGCTATAGAAATGCTGCATTTTATCAGTATGACAATCAGCCTTCTTATCGTTATATTCAATAATGTTTGCTAATGAATTATGTTTCTTATCATTATCATGACTGAAAGGTTAAAACTGGTCCATGAGCAGTTCTAGCCACTATCTCTGTCACCAAGTAATGTTCACAGTAACTGATAATAATAATATTATAGTTGAGATGGGAGAAAAGTACGGTCTAAGCATGGAGTGTAAGGCCAGGGATATTTATTAGTGTGCAAATATAAAGCTTCTGTTCCTGTAGCTGCCATTTCATTAAGCAGATCACCTGAAGGGCTCAACAGACACACCCGATTCTTACTAATGTCAAGTGCACTTCCCGCAGAGATGTCCGGATGGCTTTCGCCAAAACGGAAACAGGAATTAGTTTCATGGTTTAAAAAAACAATGAGGGGGCCCTGGCTGGCATAGCTCAGTGGATTGAGCACGGGCTGCGAACCAAAGTGTCGCAGGTTCAATTCCCAGTCAGGGCACATGCCTGGGTTGCAGGCCACGGCCCCCAGCAACCGCACATTGATGTTTCTCTCTCTCTCTCTCTTTCTCCCTCCCTTCCCTCTCTAAAAAATAAATAAAAATAAAATATTTTTAGAAAAAAAAAAAAAACGAGGGAAACGAGAGGTCAGGCCGCTGAGAGGCAGGCACCACAGTCACGCCTGCGTGAATGGGAGCCTGGGTGGGGAGAAGCCAGAACTGCTGGGCAGCAGTATCGGTGCAGAGCGGTTTTGGGTATTGACTGCGCTGGTCCGATACACATACCAATAGTCTCTAGGTTTGGGCTGGGCTTTCCCTGTCTGAAGGAACTCCTACCCAGAGCCATTCTGGATTAAGTTAGGAAAGGAGCCCAACGCAAACAGGAAGCATCCTTAGGCTAAGATGGTGAAAATCAGAGCCTCAAGGAAAAAATAATAATAGATTAACTTTACCTTCAAGTGGCTGTAACTCTGTTTTGGTTTTTTCTTTCAGATTTGCCACAGGTTCGCTGTGTTTGCCATGCTCAGATGTCACTGTCCTGTAAGTCTGAAAGCAAACGTGTAATTAAGTGTATTTCTCGAGTATTTTTTTGTCATGATTGATGTTCATCATGCCAAGTTCAAAGATATATACAATTCAAAGAAGAAGAAGCAATGCACATCGTCTACTTGTTCATTTCCTTTTAGAATCCATAAAGAAGGAGAGAAACAAATGCTCTAACAGGGGTGGAAGCTGACCGAAAACGTACACAGTAGCTAGAAAGGCAAAGGCAGCTGACAGGCCCGATCTGCTGAGTCAGCACCCTCATTCTCAGGACGCCAGTGCTGACCCTGTGCACAAGTTCACACTCCTGAGCTGACCTTCCCAGCAGCAACATCCCGGGGGACATTTGTCTTCTCGTTCAAGGGGCTAGGGTGCAAGATGAGAAAACGAAACTACTTTAAGCAGAACTGAAGAGATGATGATATTAGAGTAATTCATACTCATGGGTGGCCCAGAGAACGTAGCTTTTCCAAAACTAATGTAGTCGAACACGGAGTACAAGGCCATTGGAGGAGAGGGGCTCAAATTTAGACCTTGGAAGTTATTTCCAAGGGGTACTAATTGTTTATTAAACATAAGCATTTAATATACACCACAGGTTTCACACACCAGTCTGGCATTATGTTTTTTCATCTCTCCAGACCCTCAAATAATTAAAATGACCTGGGCCTGTCTCAGAATCCCATGTCCTGACCTTCACATTGCTTTGAGTTTCCCATAGCTCGTGAAACATACGAATCCCTGAAGGCTGGGGGCAAACACTTACATAGTATCCACCAGCGCTGACCGTGACACCTACCACCAGATAGTAGGTCATGTTTGATCCAGGCGATCCAGGGAACTTTTTAGATGACATCCAGCGGAAAGATGCTGGGAAAACAAGTTTAAACACAGTTAGCTCCACCACTTAAGCAAAACTGTTTTAAATAATTATGTCTTTAAAAAAACTCCTGCTCAGTGAACCTACAATCTATTAACATGGAGTGACTTGAGCTTAAGAGAATACGGTATGATGAGGTATGGTAATAATTGCACTTGACATTTTCCCAGTCTAATTTGACGAGTACTTATGAAACCTGTCATTCTGATGCTTAGCACCATGGGTTTTTTTTGGAAGGAGTGCAGGCACGAGTAAGGAGAAATGACAGGAAAAATAGCACTAACAATTTTTAAGTCAAACAAGAGGCACATAAGCAAAAGAAATTTGTTTACTGCATGTACTCTACCACAGGATTTAGTGGAAAAGATTATTTTAAAAAAAGGAATTAAATACATTTATACTTAAATCTTTATGTTAAATAAAACATATTGAAATTTAACACACTTTCTATAAGTCTGTAACACAAATGTAAATATATTTTTCTAGTATAAAACCTTTGAAGATGGTCAGCGAGAAGCTTTTCTAAGACAAATGTTGCAAGAAGGTCATATCTGAAATAGAAGTACAATTCTATGCAAACTAATAGATGATAGTGCTGTGTCCTCATATTCAAATATATTAACTCGTAGGGCTGGAATTTGTGTCTACCAGATTTCCTGGCATTGAATTTTTATAATAAACTTAAAGCTAGAAGGAGCTGAACGTTCACAAAGCTGAAATTCTTTATTTTAAGGATAAAAATGTGGAGACATTTATTTATCCATCAACAAACACAGTGGAGCACCTACTATGTGTCTGGCATTCTCAGAGGCAGTAGGGATACAACAGTGACCAAGACACACGAGGCCCCTGGCCTCCGGGAGCTCACAGCCTACAGAGAGGGAGCAGGTGTCCAGACCAGTAACTGCCTGCGGACAACAATTTCAGGACAGCGCAGCCAGCACTGTCATCGGTGCCAGTAGAAGCTGCAACAACAGCGTGCAAGTGCAGGGGAGACTCAGCCAGTTGGCCCAAGGTAGCTGCCACAGTCGAAGAGACATGGCCTATTATAGAAATGACGATTAAAAAGTGATTAAAAAAAAAAGGCATGGCCTGAGTTTTGAAGGACCGTGGGAGTTTGTCAGATAAACGAGGGAAGGGAAACTGCTGGAGGCAGAAGCTGTGTGGTTTGGAAAGGACAAAGGGATCTGGCGTGGCCTGACAGAGACAGTATCGGTGCAGGGACCAGAAATTTGCACTGCTGGCAAATCTTTGTGGTAGTAGAATTGGAAAAGTTCATGTATATGGTTTTAGTTTGAATATAAATGTCCATTTCTTAGAAAAAATATTTCCCACAAATGCACCCAAATAAGCTATGGTAAGAGATTATGGGGTTGACTTGTAGAGGGACTTTGTTAGTTTAAAATACATCTGTTGTTAAATAGAAAACATATTAGTGTTATAGTTGTCAACCAGATATAAATATCAAGAAGATTTTTTAAATAGAAAGAAATAAAGAAAATTATTAGAGATTTAAGTAAGGACTTAAATACAAATACAATTATGGCAAAGTTACTGAAAATGCAATGAAATGGGAAATAAATATTCAATAAGGATTAGTTGGACAAATTTTAGCATATTCATACAATGGGGAAAATAGATATAATTTTCCCAGAAGAGTATTTACTTACTTGAGAAAATATTTACAACATATTAGGTGCAAAATTATATCAAAATAATCTGTATGGGACCATCTCTAATTTGTGCACGAGGGAAAAAATGCATGAGGGAGAGAAAAGGCCTGGAATATTATATATACTATATATAAAGGTAAATATTATATATATATGATATATAAAGGTAAATAATGGTATTCAATGAAGAGTAGGATTACAGATGACTTCTATTTTGCCTTTCTGTGTTTTTCTGAATGATCTATTATAAACCTAAGTTATTTATTCATTAAAAAGTTACATTTTAAAAGGAAAAAACCGATAACAAAATTTGATGAGTCACACAATTTTATCCTTCAATAAAACTGAAACAATTTTCTTTTTCCTTAGAGTAAAAAGAACCAATAAAAGGCTAACTGATTGAAGCCAAATTTCCAGTCAATAATAGTTCTTCAAACACACAAGCAAATCAGTGCTACAGAAAAGTAGTTAGGTGAGAATGAGAGAAAGATCAGCACTGCTACAACCAGTGTTGCTAACTACCTATTTAGACAACTTAAACCACTCTTCCTTTGCCCCAAGGTAGACAGGAAATTATGTGAACCATCTGCGCGCGCGCACACACACACGTGCGTGACGACCGTGGGGGGATGCAGACAGATAACCCGCGCGAAAGGCCAGGTCGGGGGCCCCATCTTTCTTCCCGCCCCACCCCCATCACAACAGCCCTTCACCTTCAGAAGTTGAAGACGAATGGCTTCTCCATTTCATCAGCCAAAAAAATTGGTTCTGTCTTACTCGGTATAAAGACAAAGGAAAACGAAGACTCTTTCTTTCCGTTACTTGTAAGGCGAACCAGCATTTTAAGAGAAAAATGAAGCTAGTTGGGCAGACCTTTCGTCGCCCCCCCCCCCCCAGCACTGGGCTAACCGAAGTGGGAGGTGGGGGAGGCCCATGGAGTTTTCCGCAAGAGTTTTCTTTCTCTCTGGCTCAAATGCACAAACTGGGCTAAAGCTACTCGAGAATTGTTAGGAAGTGAGGCGACGTGAAGGGAGACCTGAGAACTTTCCACGAAGTGATCTGCGAGCAGCCCCCCAGTCACGGACACGGAGAAAGGGAGGGGAGACGGAGGAGGACTCGCCGAGAGCCGGCTGGGGCCCGAGCGGCGTCGGAGCGCGAACCTGGTGCGGGTGACAAACCCTCCCACACTCACGCCTGAGCACCTACAGTGTCGCAGGCACTGTGCTGGGCGCTTCGGTGCCTGTCAGTCAACGGGCTTCCAGCTCTCAGTGCAACTTCCCCCTTAAGGAAATGTCTGAATACGCCCCCTTTTCCCACGAATTCGCACATCTAACGGTGATAGATACACGGACGGTGGAGGCCAACAGCTGGACAGCTCCAGGTCTGTTTGCAGCCGCCAAGGAAAGTGCTTCGAAAGCCTCTTCCTCGCCGCGGAATGCCAGGGCCCGGGCTCGTGGGTTGAGGCTGCGGCGCCCCAGCCGAGTCTTGAGTTTATTTCCTTAAGAGTCTTAACCAACTTCCACTGGACCGGCAGCCCGTCCTGCACCTTGCCTGGCTCGCTGGTCAGTGTCCGCCTCCCCTCCCCCGCAGGCCTGTACTTCCCCACGAACTTGGAGAGTGCATTGGTCCTTACAGTAGTAAAAATGGTAAGCCAAGAGTACGTTAGCCGGCACTTTTCTAAGCGTTAACTACACACTAACCCATTAAAACTCAACCATACAATCCCCAGTTTACAGATGAGGAAACTGAGGTTAAAGCACTTGCGTTAAGATCGAGATTTGAACCCAGGAAGCCTAGTCTGTATTCACAAGCTGGAAAGGTTCCCTACTTTCAAAGTCTCCAAGAACTTCGGGGTGTCTTCCCCGGACCCTTTCCTATCCCACCCCCCCCTCACCCCCAGCTCAGGCTTATGTTGCTCTGGGTGGGTTTTGGCCCACTGGGGGCAGACTGGTACAGGGGCGCCCGCAGGATCTCCTGCTCTCTTCAGTTCGGAGCGCGGGAGAGGCGTCAGGGGGCAGCGCCTGGCACTCACCGTCCTTCCGGAGCGGCGCGGGGCTGGGGGGCGCCCTCAGCTGCAGCGCCAGCGTCTTAGAGACCGCTCTGCGAAGATACATCGCGCCGCCAAGCTCCACGCTGCAGCCTCTGCTGCCCGCGCTCTGCCCGACGCATTGAACTTGGGCGAGCCACGCCTCGGGGTGGAGCGCGGACCCCAGCCCAGCCCTGCCTGGGCGGCCGCTGTCCGCACCGTCCTGCCTTGACCCCAGTCTCCAGGCTCTGTGGCTTTCTCAGAGATCCAAGAAGCTGATTGAGGCATCTCAGAACCGGGATCGGAAACCGAGAAGTCGCTGTCACCTGCCTGCTAGGTACGCTACTGTTGTGCTAAGTGCAGTTCCTCAGTCAAGGCTGGAAGTGTTTCGGGTTCGCATCTGGAGCAAGGCATACACTTGGTTCATCACGCCGGATGAAAGATGAATCCACTTTATGCCACGCACTCCCTTAGCTCTCCTAAGAGTGGAAAGGGAGCAGGGAGCGGGGTAGCCTCTGCCTTCCCTTAGTGCCCTGGGTGATGTTCAGAATCGTCAAGTCCCCAAGTAATGGCGGACTTTCTAGGCAATTCACTGTTACAAGGACTTTAAATATAAACCCCCCAAATGCTGTGTATTCCTCTGTGAGATGTGAAACTAGTATTTCCGCATCAACTAAAATGCTAAATTATTAATTTCTTCACCCAGATTCCAGTCGATTGACTCATTGTGGCTACAACAATTTGTCAGAGTTTGAATACGAAAACCAATCATTTACAACATTTTCTAAATGAATACTCTTCCGTAGGGACTCTGCTGCTCTAATCCCTTATGTGTGTTTGGCACTTTACAGCTAAAGCACTTTCACTTATGTCTCCTTTAATTCTCACTTCAACCCTCTGAGGGCTGTGGTACTCACCCTTTAAGCAAGCAACCAGGTGGTGGGCAGGAATGTATAAGGATTAATGGTCGTCAAAAAATAAAAAATGGGAACATCGTTTTTCTGGTTCCAAGTTCCCTGAGGCACGTTACAGACAAAATATTTGCTCATTTGCTACTTGAGAACTAAACATTCTTTGGAGATTCTAGTTCTGAACACAGTTCCAATGATATTTCACATCTTCTCCTTTGGAGGGTACAAACCAATGGTCAGAACTGTTTTTGGGGGGGTTTTTTGTTTGTTTTTTTGATACCCACAGTAGCTAGCTATTCCTAAGGATTAAACGTTTAACCAGAGCAATTAGGTAATCTGTAGGTAAGAAGAGGTCAAGCTTGGACTCCTAAGCAGCACACCAAGGGGTTAGACCTGGACTCTCCACCGAGAAGTTAGGCGGGGCTGAAAGTAACAAAACGAAGATGGGGACACTCGCTAGCTTTGAACAGCATACAGCACGCACACTCCTGCAAGCAGGGACCAGCTCTCTCGCCGGTGCTGGAGAATGTTAAATGAACTGCTAGCAGCTAGGACAGATGGACACACAAACCCAAATCTGTCCAGAGCACTCCTAACCACCAAAGTTTGGCAAGGCCGGATTTAAAATTTAAAAACAAGAAAACAAATCTGTCTACCACTACCTCTCATTCTTTCCTTCTTGTACTTAGGGCTGAATTTGGATTTGGTTGCCAGGGAGAGGAATAGTCAAAAGCAACGAATGCATTTATATGGCATGCATTATAGTTATTTGACGTGTTGGGAGCTCCCCTAAAAATACTTCTTTCTGAGTGAACAGAAGGAACTTGTAAATGGTGATGGCTCCCAGGACATCATGTCAGGCTCCCCTGCAGAACTGAGGTGTGGACCGGGGTCTGGGTATACAGTCTGAGGCCTTCTGGCTCATCCCCGGGTTCTATCAAACTGTACTTGTCAAAATGCCTGCAGTATGCTAGGGACTGTGCTAGGTGCTGAGGATTGCTTATAACTTATTTCACAAACATTTATTCAGTGTAATGGGTTTGGCCCTGTTCCGGGGCATTCTTTTTTTAAATTTTTTAAAAGATTTTATTTATTTTTAGAGAGGGAAGGGAGAGAGAAAGAGAGAGATAGAAACATCAATGTGCGGTTGCTGGGGGCCATGGGCTGCAACCCAGGTATGTGGCCTGACTGGGAATCGAACCCGCGACACTTTGGTTTGCAGCCCGCACTCAAGAGCATTCTTTAATGAGTAAGAGATGATTTCCGCTGTCACTCACAGAGGTTAAAATACCAGGCTAAAGAGATACTGAACCAAGCCCACCATCAATGGGGTCAATGATCACAAAGAAACCCCTGGCCTGATATCATTCATAAATGTAATCTAAGGCCTTTGATTACAACCAAAATTAACACATATGTACATAGGGTTTTAAAAACTTTCCCCAAAGTACTGTCATACCTATTTTTGTAGTTCATAACTCTTAACACTCCTGAAGAGTAGGTAGGGGAATGCTGATGATCACTGTTACATACGAAAAAAACCCCCATCAAGTTAGTGTGGTTAAGAGCATGAGTTTGGGAGTCAGATACCAGGTCTGACTTAGGGTCTGAGTAAAACGCGGACCCCTAAAGCACGTTAGGCGTGAAACACGCTCAGCCTTGGGAGGGGGCGGTGCTAGGTTCTACTTCGAGCCTAAGCCAGAGCTCAAGGCTGCCTCACTGTGTCCGGCTGCCTTTCAGTGAACACACGGCAGGATCCACTGTGTCCCACTGTCTTGTCTGGTAGGTGGCACCGCCCAGTGGGGAGCTTGTCACATCCTTCAGACCGGATGTGGCCTCCCAGCTGGGAAAGGCAAAAGTGGTGAGAGGAGTGTCACTTGTCCGGATCCCTTTGCATCTTAGTTAAAAGCTCATGCCCCTTGGATGGGAGGGAATTTTCTCCATCTACTGCTCCTGGAGGACACGAAGCTTTCCATTTCCATGTCAAACTCGCTTTGCATCTTGAAACATCTCCCAAGAGAGGACATGCTTGTGGGCTGTCAGATTCACTCCGGGGCAAACGGTTTCTCCCAAACCCGAGAGAAGCTGGACATGGGGTCTTTGCTACAGAAGACTGCGTGAGGCTCGGGCACCAGTTCGCCCGCCGTTAGTCACGCCGTCCCCAGTGCTGCCCTTGAGCAAGCATCCTTGACATTTTTCTTGGTGCAGGAAAAACAAGATTTAGAGTCAGAGATGACTTGGCTCATCTAAGATGACCTCCAACTAACTGTGACTGTTAACAAAGGTACTTGTTTTGAAAACATACTATAAGGGTCCTTTACTGGCAATACTAATCATACTTATTCAAGGCTTAAGTGCTATATAATTAATAAGCAACCTTCAAAGAGGAGTGATTTCCTAAACTCCACAGGAAGCTAGAAACAGCTTTGTTTTTCTTAGCACTAAATTATTAGGCTGTGAACTGTACTTTCAACAAATCAATATGGATATAAAGTGAAATAATTCAGAGAAGTATCTAGGAAGACAAATTAGCAAGCAATTAAGAAATTCCTGATAAGCACCCTCCTGATGACCTAAAAAAATGAAGGGGAAAGGGTAATCAAGATGGTCACTTCTTCAACTATTCTCGGGGGTGACTCACTCAGTACTTTCCCCATCTACACACTTGCTCTTCCACAGCAAAACAAACATGGGATTCCGAACATCCGTGTATTATTTTCCTAAGGCAACCACAACAAACTGTACAAACTTGTATGGCTCAAAACAGAACTTTATTCTCTCCTCGTTCCAGAGGCTAGAAGCCTGTAGTCAGGGTGTCAGCAGGGCCACGCCCCCTCTCAGACCTGTAGGGGAGAACTCTTCCTTGCCTCCTCCAGCTTCTCATGTTTGCTGCTAACCCTTGGCTTGTAGATGCACCATTTCAATCTCTGCCTCCATCACTACGTGGCTGTCTTCTCCCTGCATGTGTCTTTTCTCACAAATACACCAGTCATATTGGATTAAGACCCCACCCCACTCCACTATGAGCTCCTCTTAACCACAGTGACCCCACTCCCACATCCGGTCACGTTCTGAGATACTGGGGTCTTAGCATGATGACACATCTTTTCCGGGGGCACAATTCCACCCACAACTTCTTAGGCTTGAAATGGAGTTTATATAGCCTGTTTTTTCCCATGATGAGTTGAGCAAATAATTTAAGTGACTACCTCACAGACACTAAATCTGAAAAATGGTCAAACTGATTTTGGTCTAATAAAAAACTTGAATGCATTTTTTTTTTGTGTGACTACAGTTCACCTGCATCCTTTTTCATGGGGCCCTTTATGTTATGATTAAAGGAACCATCATTTGACTAGGGGTCCTCTTGGGAATTTAGAATCAGGATTCTTTTTCAGTTCAGTGACTCTTGAACTGAAATGTAAACCCAGGAGCTACTGGCGGTGGCCAGCTCTTTACAGCGTGCACTGGGGAAGGGGTCTGTGTGCAGATATGCTCTAAAGCAGATGTACAGATGGCAGAGCCACGAGCAGAAGCCCTGATGACATTTGAGCCCCAGGCCCTGATTATGTCTGAGCCCAGATGTATTCCTATTGTGGGGTCTGAGTCACTCTGTATCCTCACCACCTTTTTCTAGGTTAACGTAGTTTGAATGGGGTTTCAGTTTTTAATTTAGAAAGGTGTTTTGTTTTTTTTTGTCAGCATTCTACATAGCCCAGCTTTAGGTGTTTACTCATAGGGTAATCTATGTGCTAACACAGCAACTACCAGCCCCTTGTGGCTACCTAGATTAACTAATATTAAGTATTAAAAACTAAGTCACCCTAATCACATTCCAAATGCATTGGAATGGCAGATAGGAGACAGGATAGCACTGGATAGCAGACAGGACATTTTCATCACTGCATGAAGTTCTCTCCCATGGCCCTGGTCTTCACGAATGGCTCCCCCTGGAGTTATTCCGGCAATGATCAAGACGCAAGTCCAGCCCTGGCTGGTGTGGCTCAGTGGATTGAGTGTGGGCTGCAAACCAAAGGGTCGCCAGTTTGATTTCCAATCAGGGCACACACCTGGGTTACAGGCCAGGTCCCCAGTGGGGCCCATGTGAGAGGCAACCACTCACTGATGTTTCTCTCCCTTTTTCTCTTTCCCTCTAAAAAGATGCAAGTCCACACAGGGCAGCTATTCTCAAGGCCAGACACACAGTAGATGGTGTTATTGCAGTTATATTTTATTTCCAACTAAGGCTATCAGATTCCAGAATTTTTTTTTTAAGATTTTATTTATTTATTTTTAGAGAGGGAAGAGAGGGGGGAGAGAGAGAGAGACAGAAAGAGAGAGAGAGAGAGAGAGAGAGAGAGAGAGAGACATCAATGTGCGGTTGCTGGGGGTCTCATGGCCTGCAACCCAGGCATGTACCCTGACTGGGAATCGAACCTGCGACACTTTGGTTCGCAGCCCATGCTCAATCCACTGAGCTACGCCAGCCAGGAGATTCCAGAATTTCAAATGTCTTAGTCCTCCATTCCCTTCAGGAATATGAACTTTTTAAAGTGTTTTAGGGGAGCCCTGGCTGATGTGGCTCAGTGGATTGAGTGCCAGCCTGTGAACCAAAGGGTCACCGGTGTGATCCCCAGTCGAGGAACATGCCTGGGTTTCGGGCCAGGTCCCCAGTGGGAGGGGCACACAAGAGGCAGCCACACATTGATGTTTCTCTCCTTCTTTCTTCCTCCCTTCCCCTCTCTAAAAATAAATGGTATCTTAAAAAAAAAAAAAACACAACACGTGTTTTAGTGGAAAGTGTCCTGATTTGGGACTTGATACCTGACTTCTTGGTCTCCATCGTCATGTGACAATAGTAGTTTTCTACTGCTACTATAACAAATTTAGTAGTTTAAAACATAAGACTTACTCTCTTAGAGTTTTGTAGGTGAGAAATCCACCGATAGGGGTCTCAATGGGCTAAACTCAAGGTGACAACAGGGTTGTGTGACCGGCTTTTCCATTCCTTGGTTCTTGGCCCCCTTCCATCGTCAGAGGTGCCAATGGTCTGTCGCCTCTCCCTCACACGGCTTCACTCACACACACTTTCGCATCCCTCTCCACTTACAAAGACCCTTGTAATCACAGTGGGGCCCAACAAGCTAACCCAGGATAACCTCCCTATCTCAATGCCAGCTGATGAACAAACTTAATTCCACCTGCAACCTCAATTCCCTTAGCATGTACACAGATTCCAGGGAGGAGGACATGGTCACCTTTGGGCTCCAGTATTCTACTTACCACAGTGACGCACAAATCACTCTTCACCTCTGGTTCTGCATTTGTAAAATTATGAGCTTGGTCTGCATGACCCCTAAGGTCCTCTCAGCTCTGTCAGCTAGGACTCCGAATTGACAAAAGTTTAAATAGTTACTGTTCTATCTGGTCTTTCACTGAATTTGGATTAAATAATTATCTAAAATAATGTAACTCTGAATGTATTTTCAGAAGTGACTTCCCACGGTCTTGCATGAATCTCCCACAGTGCTGGCCAGACCCTAAAACATATATAAAGCCAATTATAAGGCAAGAAACCTTCCACTAAACATCAGAATAGGGACACAAATAATGAACTTTTAAATGTATGGTATACTGTGTTTAAATTACAAGTTAACAAAGTGGTATGTAAATAAGTTTTAATTGATGCACAAGAAAGGGTTTTGATGAAGAATAAATGAGGTGTATTTCAATTTGTGTCTATTAACTCCTCCCCTCCTTTTTGAAACACTCAGGAGTTTGCTATTCATTGGATGAAAGTAACACCAGCAAAAAGGGACAACAAACCTGTGTTGCCATCACCAGTCATCCTGGTGAAAATCATTCAAAATGAAAGAAATGGAGTGAGAAGAAATTCTAATAATAGGATTCAACTTCACTTTCTGACTTCACCAAAATGACTCACCTAGAAGAAAAGAGTATTTGGGCTCTTTTGTATTTTGATTAATAAAGTAGTTCTTATTCTAAAGAATAAGTGTTATGATTAGAAATTCAAAGTTAATGTAAGGAATAAATCCTTCAGCAGTGATTTTTTAATCTGTCTCCCTAGAAAGTTTTCTTACCGATGGGTCTTTGGCGACCTCTGACCCTGTTATCAGATGGTAACTTCCACAAGGAAATACGTCTAATAATACACCTTAGAATTCACATTTTCTTTTTTTCTCCTTTGCTTTGTTTTTATTATTTCATGTGCATTAGAATTCACATTTTCAACACTGCCATAGTATATGAAATCTGAAGAATACAGAAATATTTTTATTTTTTCACTTAATGGTGCAAAACACAAATGCTAATGACATACTTTCACATACAACTTTTCTCTCACGTTTACAATTCAACAGACTGGAACTGCTTTCATTGGAATATAGAACATACCTATAATGAAAAGAAAAAAAAACTATAGCAATAACCAGCAGAAATATTAAAATTAGATCATTCTAAATAATTTACCTTAGAGCATCAAGACAAGTCTAGGAAAAAAATCCATAGAGTCTCAACCCCTCATTTTAAGTTACAACAAAAAATATTTTATTTGAACTACAAAAAAAAAAAAGCAAAAACATCTGGCTTTGATTTAAATACCTATTTCATTTTTATCTCTTGATTGGCTGACTGAAGTAATGATATGAGCAAGGTGACATTAATAGAAAAAAATTCAGAAGTTTTGGGTAATCAAACCTTAAAGAGCCAAGGTTGAGTGTTAATATGGGAGAAAAAAATGTATATTAGTGATTACTATTTTATTTAGCAGATATTTACTTTAATCAACCTAATCTATGAAAGTTGAGATTTTTAAGTGTGACTTTTTATTTTCCAGAAGGATTAATACAGGGTTTATTTAAAAGGATTTATGCACTCCAGTGTGGCTCAGCTGATTGGAGCACTGTCCCACAGCCAAAAGGTTGTGGGTCCAATCCCTGGTCAGGGCATAATCCTGGGTTGGGGTCCAGGTGCATATAGCAGACAACCAATCAATGTTTCTCTCTCTCCCTAAAAGCAATGAAAATGTCCTCAGGTGAGGATTTAAAAAAAGAGGAAATATATCCACAGACAATGATAACTTACCATACATGCCACGAAGGTACTGGGTATAGTCCCATTAGATTTAATTAAATAATATGACTTTGGTTTCATTCTTCTTTAAAAAGAATTACTGATTGACTTTAGAGAAAGAAGAGAGAGAGAGAAACATCGATTTGTTGTTTCGCTTTTTTATGCATCATTGGTTGCTTCTTGTATATGCCCTGATCAGGGATTGAACCCACAGCCTTGAGGTATCGGGATGAAGCTCTAACCCACTGAGCCACCCTGCCAGAGCCTGGTTTCACTCTTAAACATAATTTTCTTTCAACATAAAGCACTATGGTTAAAAATGTTTATATTAAGTGATGATAGAGCCAAGGTACTAAAAATTCATAAATTTGTCACAAATAGGAAGATAGGTGCTCTAAGAAGCATAAACCTACTACAAACCCCCTCCCAAAATACATTACTTAAAAAGAGTTCAAATTAACTTGCAAAATCTATTCATTCTATAAAAATTGCATACTTACTGTATTCATATTTTAAAAGTTTATTCCAACCCATTTCTTCTTTTATACTCTAAAACATCCTCTCTATGTTGCTGGATGAGCTAGAAGGAGGTAACAATTACAATTAGAAATGTAATCTTTCTGTAAATTAAACAGGAGAAGGCTAATACTGATATTTTGCAAAGGAATAAGGATAGATGAAAAGAGCTACAACTATTCTAGTTAGAAATAAAAAGCTAGGAGATGCAAAAGTCCAAAAACTAAGAAAAGTATACACCTGTTCATTATAATCTGACGTTATATGCCTGTTCATTATAATCTGACAAGACAACTCTTAAAAGTTTAATTTTAACTTTTGCCAAGTAAGTTACCTCATTCAGTGGGTAGTTAATGGGATGCCTTACCACAGAGGGGCTAAACCCACACAGCAAAGCAGGCCTTGGTCAGTGAATGGGGTCCAGGCTTGCTGGTGGGTGGGAATTACACTTCTAACCTTAGAAATTTGATGCTGGGGGTGAATGAATAACCCCACACCCACTCTATGTGTATCGATTAGACGTCTCGGAGGACGGCCACTTTTCCAGAACCACTGTCTGACAGAATACGCAACGGAACAATGGTTGATGTAGGGTGACATTCACTGCAATTAGAGATTTAATTTCAATCAGAGCTCTCGGAAGCAATCACGCTCCTTTTTAGGAAAACTTTAAACGAGAAATGTATAAATTGGTCTGTAGTGCAGCCAGCTCTGAAGTTAGGGAGAACAGGGTTCAGCAAACTAATTTCTCCAAGTGTTTTCTTCATTTGTTACAGGTCAACAATAAGTGTTTACCACATAGTGTTGTTGAGAAGATTAAATGAGTGTTTGCATATAAAGCATTTGGCATGTTGTAAAGACCAAAAGCCCCACAAAACAAAAAAACAAAAAAACAAACAAAAGGCTGCTACATACCTACATACTCAGTACAATTTCCAACAATGTGTCATACAAACCAATGACTAAAATCTTATGTTTTGGAAGTCTAATGGGGTTTAAATTGTAATAACTCGTTCATTGATGGTTTGTCTCCATGGCATCTGAAAAAAAATGCTTTCATAAAATCCCAAGCAACCTCCATCTTCATTAATAAATAAAATAAAGGATAATATGAGTAATACTGCCATTGGTGAGAAAACCATGCTAAGTAACAACGAATGACAGAAATTTCAACTGCATCAAATTTTGTCGATGCCAATGAAATTTTTAGTCCTTGAGATTCCCCTCACGGAGAAATATGTCATCAGCAATTGTATCCCTAGGCTACCGCGCCGGGGATTAGCTCATGACGTTCAATCTCACACGGACGTTTCTCCTCCCCGCTGGGCTGGGGGCGCACGACGCACGGGAACACGACTCACATAGATCCACAGGAAGGCGGAAGTGCCCAAGGTCAACCCCACTTTCAGCCAGTCCGGTTTGTCATGTAGCGGCTCTCGAACGTAGAACTTTGACCGCGCTGACGCTGGAAGGGGACAGAGAGTCTGTCAATCAGTAATTTGTCACCTTGCTGGAAAAACACCTAACGTTAACAAGCGCATTGTCGCATTTAATTTTCCCATTCACCACCCCCCCCCCCCCCCGCGCCCTCGCTTAAACTGCCAAAGAAACAGGTTCAAAGAGGTCAAGTAACTCGTCCTGGGCCAGCAGAGCCAGAGCGGTCGTCCCTGGCCCTCGGGCTTCTTCAAAGCCTCATTTACTGGTTTTTGCGGACCCTCGGAAGACTCGGGAGGGGGCGACCCCCAGGAGAGTCTCCCCTCCTGCAAAGAGGGGGTCGGAGGAACCCAAAGTCTCTCACGCGCACCAAGAGGGGAAAGGGTGGCACTCGGAGGAGGGTCGGCGGAGCGTGACGGGGAGCGGAGTCAGGGGTAGGAGTAGAGGTGGGCTCCGGCGGGCGAAGGTCACGGCAGGACGATCCCGGGCCGGAGCCGTTCCCTGTCTCCGCGAGCTGGGTTCACCCTGGGAAGGACAGGCTGGGAGGTCAGGTCGGCCTGCACAAGGAGGGATACTCACAGCCCCCCGGGAGCCTGGCCGGGGCGAGCAGCCTAGGGAGGGACCGCAACAGCGTGGACGGCGCCATCTTGCCAGGCCGGACCCCGCCTCCCTGAATGGGGTCTCTCCCGGAGTCGGCTCCCGGCCGAGCGCCCCCTGGCGTCTGGAGGCGCGGGGCTCGCCGGCTCCGCAGCCGCGCCGCACAGAGGCTTTAGCTGAGAATCGCAGTTACGGCCAAGTGCTCCCACTCCTCCGCTCCGTCTCCTGTTTGTAAAATGGGTGGTTAGGAAGGAAATTATTAAAGCTGTAGATGGTAAAGAAGGGAGCGGGGCGAGGAGGAGGTAGTTTATCTTCTTCTCTGTCCTCTGAGAGTTTATTTCAGACCCCTCCCCTAGGGACACTCACCAAGAGATTTACTATAATCTACCGTCAGGAGCCAGAAAACTGAAAATGAAGTGTTTTGTTGGATAATAACACGTTGATTGACTTTTGTGTTCCGGGTACCGTGTATGAATGCATCATATAGTTTACGTGCATTGTCTTCTTTCATCTTCCCAACGACTGCATGACATGCCATGATTATCTTCAATTTACAGCTGGAGCTCTAAGAAGACAAGCTATTCATCCAGGCTGACATATTACAATTCACATTTTGGAAAGCCCTCCTACAGTTCCTGAAGTCTGTTTACTTGCACTATCATAGTAAAGCCTCACAACCCTGTGGGGAGAAGAGAACCCTCGCATTTTAAAAGAAGTGTCCTGACTTGCTCAAGATCAGCCCGCTGGGGGAGGTGGGTGGGGCTCAGGTTCAGGTCTTCTGATCCCCGAGTCAGAGGTCCTCCTTAGCCCATATAACAGTCTCCTGAGGCCTTGAGCTGAAGGGCAGGGTTCAAAGTGCCATTCCTGCTCACACCTTTTTAGCTGTATGACTTTTAGGCAAATTACTTAACCTCTCGGTGCCTCAGTTTTACATCTGTAACATAAAACCTATCCTATAGGATCCTATAGGGTCGTTGGGTGGCCTAGTTTTTAAAGTACTGTACTTGGTTTTGCCTATTAAAAGACATCATACTGACCCACAGGTTTTGTTTTTCACAATCAAACCAGATTTTTGTGCACTGAATTCTCATTTTGATTTGATGTCTAAAGACCTTGTAAAAATATGTATAGGTGAAATTTTAATACCTTAATCCTTCCAGCCTCATGTCATTTGGGCTCATTTTAAAAGCAAGATAAATGTTAACACATCTCTTTTCCTTCTATATTTTCTTTAACTATGTTACTGAAAAAGAAGCTTAACCAAAAATTATTAACCTCAGAGTAAAATGATTGTATGATGCTTTCTGGTTCATTTTTATGTGTAACCGATGGCTACATTGATTGCTGAACTGTGAATCACTTTAAAGTTTGTAACCTAGTTTCAGCCTCCTGGACTCATGCTCATGTAAGCACACTGCTCGGCTAACATGCTGACTCAGTTGTTGGTTCTCAACTTTGCCTCTTCTTGTCCACTCAGCAACCCTTCAGCCGTTTATCCTTTCTACACCATCCCTTGGAAACGTGTCCTGACACAGCTTTTGCTAGGATCTAACAAGTCAGAACAAAAGCCTCGGTTTAGTCAGAGCACGCAGAGCCAGGAAGCAAATTGCAAATTTCAGTACTGCTACTGGAAAAGGCTGTTTTGTTCTTTTGGCCCTTGGAAGCCTTACTGGTGTATATTTTGGGAAAGTGATGAAGTATAAGCACATTTCTCTCAGGGTGTTGGAGCTGGTGGAACCCTACACTTGGAGTGGGCAGCCGTAGGTGAAACCACGTCTTGAAAAGAATCCTGGTGAAGCAGTTCCAGCCAGGAGCTAATAGGTCTGATATTTTGGTAGAAGTTGCTACATCTTTAAGCATCTTCAGATTTGAATGCATTATTAAGCAGCTCCAGAATTTGAGTTATTTAAGCATCTCCAGAATTTGAATGCTGAAACCTTATTTATGACTCAGGCAAAGGAAAAAGATTTGAATTAGCAGCTAGAAAACCAGAGATTTAGTCCCTCTACATATCTCTTTTGTGGAATTAAAGTTTGCAGGATGAGTGCTTTACATTTTTATTTCTGGTTGATTTTGGGGGGAGGTGGCATTTTGACAGTAGTCATATGCAAATATTTGGGGTAAGATGAACTCACCACCGCCACTGTCATCATCATTTAGCCTGAGATATGTTCCCTTCCTGCATAGCTGTCATCCACAGCATAAATAGAATCTCCATCTGTCCAACAGTGGTGACCTATTAGAGTAGATATTTTATTGTTGAGTTCAGGCTATCAAGTCACTGACTGCGTGGTCCAACTGTTATCTGTGCCTCTGGTCCATTTTAACTAGGATATGATTCAGCTAAATGTTGACTCACACTAGTATTCACTGAATCTTAAAAACTGGTATTTGTTATCAGCCAAAAAGAATAACATTTGCCAAACTATATCGCTGGCTCAACTGTTTAGGTGCTTAGCTTCTGATGGAAACTACTATTTGTTTCACAGACCAGAAAATTTCTTCCTCCGGGGGGGAAAACTATCTTATTTACAGGAGAAATTTAGAAAACCATAGCACATAATTTTTCTATAGGGACTTTTGGATATGAAACCAACCCTAACCCTAACCCTACCATAACTCTAAACCTTAACCCTATCACTAATCACAAACATAACATTAATCCTAAATGTAATTCTGACCCTAACCCTAACCTTAAACCTAATCTTAAAAAAAACCCTAAACCCGAACACAATCTGAAGTCAGACAGTCTATCTTTTTATAGTTCAGATAATTAAAAGAAAGACCTTTTAAAGGGGACAGTGAAGTTCAAAGATTACTACAAATTAACTGTTTTTATGAATTCTAAGTTTATTCTTAGTTTTATTTTTTTTAAGTTAAGATTAAAAAACTGGCCATATTCCAAAATAATTTCCTTAATGAAACTTTTGAAGAGAGATCACAGAAACTGAGGCAATTCCAGGCTTTGACTACTAAAACCTTATGATTGGCCCATGCAAAAGGAGAGGGAGTTGGAGATAGCAGAAAACCCCAGCATTAGTCCCAGATTTTTCCACTGGGAAACATTAACTCACATCTTCCAGAGAGGGTGAAGGAAGAGGAAGTGAAACCAATAAAATATCTGGGTAAATAAATTTAAAAGAGGAAAGCTATGGCGCATATTATTTAATGATTCATGATGCAAAGAATGGTATGGATCAAATTCAGGATCTGGAGAGAAAAAAAATACTCAAGAGGCCCTGGCTGGTGTGGCTCAGTGGATGGAGTGCCAGACTGCGAACCAAAGAGTGGTAGTCAGTTTGATTCCCAGTCAGGACACATGCTTGGGTTTCGGGCCAGGTCCCCAGTAGGGGGCGAGCTAGAGGCAATCATACATTGATGTTCCTATTTCCCTTCCCCTCTGTCTGAAAATAAATAAATGAAAATCTTTACACCAAAAATAATCAAGGGTAAAAATGGCTCATACGATGTGAAAAATTGTAGATCAACAATGGAATGCCACTTTTAAAGCTTAGTTCAGGCGGGTGGGTGGAGGTGGAAGAGTGTACAAGGGGGGTAAATGGTAATGGAAAAAATACAATAAAAATAAACTACTAAAAACATTTAGTTTTACTGTGATTGTTAATGAAATGACATATATGTGGAAGAGGCCCTAGTGGGTGGGCATCTGGTCCCACCCTGCCTACTGCAGCGGTTTCCTAGTATCTTTGGCAGATACCCTTAGGCTTCTGAGATTTGAGGATTTCTGGTGATGGGGAGTTCAAGGAGTCACAATGTAAAGCACTAGCTAGACGCCAGCTCCAGGGGAGTCAGTGTCCCTAACTCTACTACCCGAAGGTGACTCAGACAGTCGTCGACCTTGCAATGTATGGATTCAAGTATGAAATAAAAACACACTTTTGCATTTACATGCTTCTTTGGCAGTGCAAAATGACACTTTGGATCTGGCTGACTACCTTTCCAGGCTCGTCTTAAGGAACCATCTAAATCGCCAGTACTCCAACCAAGTCCATTTAATTGCTCAGCTGTTTCACGTTTATTAGACTCCATTAAGCACCCTTCTCTCCATATGTTTTAAAGTCCCCCACTGGCGTGAAGCCTTTTGCTCTCCGCCCCCTCCCCGTGCCCCCCCACTTAATTAGGCACTTTGTCCATGATCAAACACAGCGCTCCTTGAATACCTGCATTTTAGCACTGCAAGCTCAAGGTATGATCAGTCGTGAAAGTCGATTCAGTGAACGAAAGGGCAGTCTAACAGCGGGAAGGCTATTTTTTATAGGCGATCGAAACCAAAGTTGACCCTTCAGTCCTCTCTTCTTCGCCGCCTCCAAAACCCTCGGTAGCCACAGGATGGGCGGGGCCTGGAGCGATCCTGCCGGCCCCGGCCCGAGGCGGGCCTCCAAGTTTCCCAGCAAGCTCCAGGACAGAAGAGGTGGGGAAAGGAGGTCATCGCGCCTGCGTGCTAGAAGATGTGACCCGGGTGCGAAAGCCCTTCGCGTCCGCCATTTTGGCTGCTTCTGTCGGTCTGTTCAGTTACCACGTGAACCGCCGACGGAGACCCGTGGTGGGAGGGGGGGGGAGGCGGCGGCAACGTTAAGTGAGAAAGGAAAAAGGACAACGAGGGGAAGGGGGGTGTCGGGGTTGGGCGACGCTGTGACACCCGAGGCCTGGTGGTGGCGGTGGATCAAGGCAATCAAGGCTGAAGCAGCCAGGGAACGGCGGCGGCGGCGGTCGGACAAACACACTGACCGAGCCGGGCGGTGGCGGGAGCAGCGGGAGGAGCCGGAACGATGCCGGCCGTGAGCCTCCCGCCCAAGGAGAACGCTCTCTTCAAGCGGATCTTAGTAAGTGTGAAGCTCCGAGCAAGCAGTGGGAAGGATTCAGCCGGTACCGGGGCCTGTCACCCGTAACCTCGGCCGGACGGGCACCGAGCCACCGTGGCCCGGGACCCCGCCTTCCTACTCTTAGGCCGAATGAACTGTCTCGTCCCCTCCTTGTGGTTCCCACTTCGGTTCGTGCGCGTGGGACCCGAGGCTTCTTCCTCCCATCCCCTTGCTTCGGAGGCCGTGGTTCCGGACTAGGCCCTGTTCTCCCGGCTTCTACTTTGCCGGTTTTCATACACCCCACCGAGCGAAGGGAGGACAGGCCCAGCCTTTCGGAGGGAAGCCGGCAGTACGGGCAGGAGTCACGGCCCGGGTGGTGCGGGAACCCTGCCGGCAGATCGGGGTGGTACCCTTGGAAGGAACAGGTGGTGCGGATGCGGCACAGCTCATTCATTGCCCGAGCGCGGCTTTCCCTCCGTCGTCTGTCCCTCCCTCTTCCTCTCCTCCTGGGATTCACCTGTCCCCGCCCGGCTCAGAGTCACTGAATGACCTGAAAGGAGGGAAGGAAGGAAGGAGTTCAGAAGAGAAAAGGAAGCTTTCTATACGACTCTCTTTTGGTCAGTTGCATATTTGAGTCTCCAGCTTCTCGGCCTCTCTTTTTAACTCCTTTCTAGAGTAGGAAAGGGACATTAATTTCTTAGTTTCTGAGCGGGAAACAGCCCCACCCCATCATTCTCCCGGCGAGGTGGGGCACCTTGCGCGGGGGCGGTCCGGTAGGAAGTGAAAAGTTAAGAGCTTTTAGTTGAGATGTTCTAGACTGGGATTTTTCTTGCAGGCGAAAGTGCATTAACACCGATGGAAAAATTTAGTAGCAGAGAAAAGAGAATATAAGAACTTTTGAGGTGGATCTCTTGACACTTAAAACTCACTCATTCCTTTCGTTTCGAATGTGTGCGATGTCCTCTCCTTTTTTTGGTACCATAAATGCAATGATGTTTGGAGGGACTATTTACATCATAAAATATATCTTGTCTCCTTGGCACTATAATGAACACATTGTAGGACGTTGTTTGTTTGTTTGTTTGTTTGGCACTTAGTATGTGGCTTGCTCTTGCATGCAAACATTTCTTGTGAAATAATTAACTATATTTGCCAAACTTAAGACTTTTAAAGTTTGGAGTGTGTGTACCAAAGTGTTTGCTTTTTCTCTTGCAGTTTCAATTTATTTCACTTGTTTGAAAAGTAGAGCAACTCTGGGGATCCAGTTTTTCTAGAAATAAGAAAGAGTAATCCACATTGAACTAACTTTGGTTTTACAAAAATATGTATATGACTTACAGATTTAGTGGATTCATGTTGAAAGACATCAGAAAGTCACATCCAATACCATGTAACTCTTAGCTTCCTTGAAATCCTTATTGCCATTTTATTTAAGACTAATTAGAGTGTAGGTGGGACTAGAGTATAGTTTGCCAGAACACTTTATTTACTTCTAAACCATTGAAAAGAGTAATTGGTGTGTAGCTTCAAATTAAATAATTTAAGAGTAGCAGTTTGTATTTAATCTTCCCCAATTCTTTTCTTACATTTTTTGGAAATATTTTATTTATTTTTAGAGATAAGGGAAGGGAGAGAGAGGGGGATTGAAACATCCATGTGTGAGAGGCACTGGGGACCTGGCTCACAACTGAGGCATGTGCTGTGACTGGGAATTGAACCAGCAACCTTTCACTTCACAGGTCAGCACTCAGTCCACTGAGCCACATAGCAGTCAGCAGTCAGGGCCAGTTCTTTATTTTGAAAAGCTTCAAGCTGAGAGAAGAGTACAAAAAAGCACTCATAAACCCTTTACTAGATTTAATATTTAACATTTTGCTGGATTTGCTTTCTCTTTCCCCATATATAAGAAATAAAAGTGAGTTGCAGACATACATAATACTTTATTCCAAAATGCTTCAGCAAGCATTTCCTAAGAGTAAGGCAATTGTTATATAAAACCATAATATCATTATTAATCATTCCCTAATATTGTTTAATACCCAGTTCATACTCAATTTCTCCCAAGTGGTAGGGTAGCACTTTTTAAAAAATCAAACTTTATTTTGAGATAACTTAAAAGGTCACACGTATTTTAACAAAGAATACCTTGAACCCATCCAGTTAATACAATGCTAATGTCTTATAAAACTATTTCAGTATCGTAGCGTTGATGCAATCTACCGATCTTATTCATATTTCTCTATTTTACTTGAACTCCTTTTGTGTGTTTAGTTCTATGCAGTGTTATTAATTTGTGTAGATTTTATAACTACCACAAGTCAATATGCAGAACAGTTCCAACAGCTCCAGGATCCCTCTATTACCATCCACACCCACCTCCCTCCCATCCTTTCTACCCCGAACTCTGGCAACTGCTGCTAATTTGTTCTCTATTGCTATAGTTTTGCCATTTCAAGAATGTTTACTAAAAAGTGTATAACTTAGAATTGGCCTCTTCATGCAACATGATTCTCTTGAGATTCCTCCAAGTTGTTGGGTATGTCAATAGTTTGTTCCTTGTTACTGCTGAGTAGAATTCTCTGATACGGATTTACCACAATTCAACTTCATAGAATAATAATTTTTGGTTAAGCATCATTAACAAATTGTTTTTGGTAGTGGTTGTAGTGCAAAACGTTTAATTAAATTGCTAAAGTCAAAGTGCTAAAGGAATAAGGTGTATGCAGAAGAAACGTGAAAATCACACTAGATGAAAAACAAAGGGGATATGATGTGTCCTTAATTGTTCTTTTACATTGGGAAAGGAAAAAATATTACTAACCAAAAGTAAAATTAGTATTTCCTTTTTCAAAATTGTATTTGCTTCCTCAGTTGTTGTAATAGTTCTTTTGACTGTAAGCCTCTTCTCCCCCGTTGGATAAAGAAGAAGTTGGGCATACTCTAGCAGGGGTGTTCAGTGCACGAGGTCCAGGATGGCTCTGAATGCAGCCCAACACAGCATCGTAAATTTACTTGAAACACTATGAGATTTTTTGTGATCACGTGTCGCAGTGTATTTAATGTGTGGCCCAAGACAACTCTTCTTACACTGTGGCTGAGGGACGCCAAAAGGTTGGACTCCCTCCCTGCCAATGCCCTGTAATCAAATGTTGCTGGGTCAGTAACCTAAATCATTTCAGCAGCATTCAGTTTTTGAGCTACTATGTTAGTTGTACTATACTTATTTGTAGTAAACTGTGTAAGAAATGAGATTAGTTTATATTTAAAAAAATTTGAAACTTCAATTTCAAAAGAATGAAGTATGTTTTTGCCTTAATTTTTTTCAAAGAAAAGCTGGCTTACACAACAGTTTGCAAAAAAATTTCACTTTCTGTAGTGGATTTGCCTGGCTTGTTCTAGTCTAGTTGATATCTAAAATTTAATCTTGTTGCATAGTTGGCCCATTTTTTCCCCCCACATTACTGTTTTCTGACTATAAAACATTATCATAAGTTGGTCAAAATGACCAGAAATGTGTCTTGTTTATAATTCATCTAGCACAAGGGCGAGGGATGAATTTAATGTGATATATATTATGTAGGAGTTTAGTTTAAAGAAAAGATGTTTGTGTTTGCCAGAAGTGGTTTTGTGGGGTGTTTTGTTGCTGTAATGACATACTATTTTAACAATTTGAAAAAATAGTCATTAAAAAATTATGGCTTTGCCTACTCTTGATGTGATTTGTTTATGTAAACAGTTTGAGAGGTTTTTCAGATTTTTACACCACTTTCTCAGGATGTGAAGGGTGAAGGGTGGGAGAAAAGTGGCTGTCAAGGAAAATCCACACCTCTTTATTTTTTAGCCCACTTGGAAAAGTTGGACATGCTCTCTTGCCTTTCAGTCCAGTTTTGCTAGATTGGTAACTGTTGCTGCTTTCTTTTTCTTTAAATGTTAATGTGAGCTGTAAGAAAAACATCTAAGTTGGGAGTACTTAAAATATTGTACATCATTAATCTATTTTTGGACTTTTGCCTGAATGATTTATGTTGTTAGTTTAAAGTCTAAAGAACAGAATTTTCCTTTCCTGGAAAAGTGGTAAGAGGAGTAGCTCAGCAGGGTGATAATATTTGTGATTTATTGAAAACTTAACATCTGTACTGCAGAATACAACTTTCTGCAGTTCTACGTCCGCTCTGTCCAATATGATAGCCGTTAGCCACATGTGGCTATTGTATACTTGAAAAATGGCCAGTGGGATTGAGGAACTGAATTTGTAATTTTAATTAATTTAAATTCAGATAGCCACATGCGAGGGGCTATATTTTAGACAGTTAACAGACAGTGTCTCCGGGGTGGACATGGTGCCCTGTGCGGTTGGAAGGCTGGGGGTCTGCGGGGCAGCTGGCCTTACCTGAAGGGGGTCGCTTTGCTTAGTGTGCTTTCTTATTTTTTAAAATGATTCTGCTTCTGATGATGCAGTTCTCTCAGAGCAGTGATTCAGGTAAGGTCTTT